TAGAAGGCAGCTCACTTAACTCTGCAGTGAAGAGCTGACCTAAGTGATTGCCACCCCAATCCTGTTATTCAGCATTGGGGCTGTGGGCAGGACTTGGTCTTTCCTGGAGACCTCCTCTTATGTATACCTACACCTTTGCTACTTTATATTTCCACATTGAACGCAGTACTGAATCTGTCAAAGACAAAGCTCCTGTGATTTCCACCTGGAGTTTTGCTTCCTTTTTAGACCTGCAGGATCTGTAAGTTTAAATGGAGGGTTTAGCAGTATCTGCTTTTAAAACACGGAATAATTTAAATTTCATCTTTCTCATTTGTAATTTGTTTTGCTTTTTTTTCCCCCTGCTTTTTTCTCAGCCGGGCCAGAGAATTGTGGTAGGTCACTCTTTGATTTTTAGGCAATAGTATAATGCTACCATTTGGGTTTGCAGCGCAGCAGGGAATACTTAAGATACAAAAGAAAACAGCATTCATTACAGTTTCTCTCTTTTCCTCTCCCACCTGCCCTTTCTTTCTCCCTGCTTCCCCCAGCTGTGGAATTTGGGCTTGAACTAAAGTAGGCGGAGACACTGGCAGTTTTAGCACCAAAATATTTTGTAGTTACTAGAAAATTTCTTGAATATATGAAAGTCCATTGAGACTCCATCATTCTATTTTCACCTTCCTTTTAGCAGACTGTATATTTACTGTCATTGTAGCTTCTTGCTTTCCCTTCCCAGAGACAACTACTTATCGCACTCCTCTTTATGGTCAGCCTTCATGGTGGGGAGAAGATGATGCAAATAACAAACTAGAAAGGCAGGAGGACAGAAGGCAAGAAGATTATTCAGGTAATGGAGATGGTCTTTGGGAGAAAACTGAGGCATTTTTATTTCCCACCACACACAACATCCTTCTTCAGAATTCTAGTGACTAAAACTTCTTGTACTCTGTAAATTTTGCAATTTGAAGTCCTAATATTTTGTTTTTTAAAAAAAGAGGAATAAGGGGAAATTAAAAAAAAAATGAGTATTTCCTTGATTGGGTGTGAAATAAGTCATGACAATTGCCGTTGTATAGGAGTTTAATTCCAAATAAACAAATACCAAGAGCACCACCCTAAGGGTATGTCTACACTGCCACCCAAGTTCGAACTAGGGTGGCTAATGTAGGCATTCGAAGTTGCAAATGAAGCCCGGGATTTAAATATCCTGGGCTTCATTTGCATCTTGCTGGGCGCCGCCATTTTTAAATCCCTGTTAGTGCGGACTCGTGGAACGAGGTGTACCGGTAGTTCGAATTAGCCTAATTCGAACTACCTACTCCGTGCCGCGTGTAGCCACGGGCACGGAGTCCGCACTAACGGGGATTTTAAAATGGCGGCGCCTGGCAAGATGCAAATGAAGCCCGGGATATTTAAATCCCGGGCTTCATTTGCAACTTCGAATGCCTACATTAGCCACCCTCGTTCGAACTAGGGTGGCAGTGTAGACATACCCTAGCAGTGGTATTTGATTTCTGTTAACAGCAGGGAGGACACTAATATATTAGGAAATCAAGCTCCCATCTGAACTTCATATCCACTGTAGTCCTATGGAAATCACTCTTGTATATAAATTTAAGTAAAGGCTAAAGTGTTCATGCTGGACCAGGCCTAAGAAATCACATTGAAGGATAAACTTGGCTGTAGTTATTAACTCTGGGATGAAGTCCCACAGGAATCTCAGGACCATTCCAAACCTCATCACCTTCAGCTCCATGTTTAGGGTGTCCTCCTCTAACATAAAAACACAGGCATCTACAAATTCTGCAGCACACACAATTCTTCATCTGGGGGAGAGAGAACAAACCATACATAACAGTAGTTAGTCACATTGCTTAATGAGGTTCTCAGTGAGGCAGTTAGTATTAGGGATGTTAAATAATGGTTAATTGAATAGTCGATGCAGTTGTTAGTCATGTTGCTTAATGAGGCAGTTGGTATTAGGGATGTTAAATATTGGTTAATTGAATAGTCGATTAACCTCGTGAATTCTTATTGGTTACTCAACTATTCTATAGTCCCCAGAGGTGAGGCCAGCAGCCTCTCTGGCCCCACTTCCGAGGAGCCCTCTGCTCAGGGTGCCAGATGGGAGCTGGTCCGCAAGGGGAGCCAGTATAAAAACCAGCTTCCCTCACAGACTGGATGCCTGTCATCCTACGCTGCTGCCTCTGATACAGAGGCAGCAGCACAGGGTGGCAGTAACTCCTATCTGGGAGGGTGGGTCTGAGCTCCTGGACCGGGCATGACCTGGAACTGAGGTGGGCTGCTTGCCCACCTGGCTCCTAACACACTTTAAATGCAGAGCTGCAGTGGGAATAGGTCCTGGTTCTGGTGCGAGCCGGGACTGAGCCGGGCTGCTGGCCAGCCTGCTAAAAAAATTACTGGGCAGAGGGGTGGGAATGCATGTAGCCTATGGCATTAACCTATACGCTCTTGCTTATTGGTTAATCAACTACACTATTACATCCCTAGTTGGTATGTGAACAATAGAACTATATTATTACCAAGTATGGTCATATAGGCTTTTTAATCTAATATTGAGATGGTGCCTTTAAGGTGTTTGCTTCCATATGTTTGTCTGTAGAAAGAACGAAGGAGATATCACAGCATGAAGGAGAGATCAATGGCAACCTTCCTGCTTATAGAGATTCCCAGGAACAATCAGTGTATGCATTCAGAAGAGAACCCAGTTATTTTGAAATCCCAACTAAAGAATTCCAACAGCTAGCAAAATCACCTGAAACGCAGGTCCATGAAATCCCAACGAAGGACGTTGATGCGGTGGTACCCCCCGTTGTGCAAAGCCATGCCTCTTTTACCATTGAATTTGATGACTGTACCCCTGGTAAAATAAAGATAAAAGATCATGTAACTAAGTTCTCATTGAGACAGAGAAGACCCTTCGGTAAGGACGTGGGTCACACAGAGATGATGTCAGCAGAGAGCAAGGTGGCTGATTGGCTGGTTCAGAACGATCCAAGTTTGATGAGAAGGCAGTCTCCGGTAGACGATGTGTATAGTACAAAGAGCGATCTGCCAGTTCATGTGAGGACGCTGAAAGGTAAGCTGCTCTTTTTCATGCTGGCTAGTCCATGGGTTTGACTTCCAAATACAGCATAAGTAGGGGGAAAATGGCCTTTCAAAGGAAAAATGAACCCATTTTTCTTAGCTCAGAGTTTTCAGGGTGTAAGAACCACATCTCTGTGACAGGTATTTCTATAATCACTCTTGACGCTTCTAAGCCTTGTGTAGCAGGTGACAACGCACCTGCTGGGCATGGATGCCACTTGTCACCGGGCAGTGGAATGCTCTAATCCAGTTCCCACTCTGCTTTATTACTGCACGTTGTCAGAAATGCTCATCTCAAATAGAGAGCTTCAGTGTCAGAGACTCGAGTTTTTCTCTTCATGTGGTTAAGGCAGGTTGGAAGCACATTTAATTGTGAGCTAATCCCTTGGTCTCCTGTGCTGGGAGGAATGACACGTGCTTTTCTGGCGGTAGGCTCACAATGGCCAAATATAGCTAATTGCCCGGGGCCGTGGTATACCATGGTTAGTCACTGTTCCATGACCGTTGACGTGCATGGGATGGAGGCTAGCTCTGGGGCAGAGTCTGATAGGTTGGGTCAAAGGTTGGGTGGCATAGCTGTGAGAGACATTTTGGTGAAGGAAGAGAAACCTATCAGAAACACCTTTCAGTGTTCAACTGTTCCAGACATGGGGCCCCACAAAACTGCCAAGCCCCTAGGCAAGGTGGGAGGAGGGTGGCGATGCCATGCTCCCAGAAGAGGTAGGCCTCGGGCAGAAGGGGTGGACATGGGGGCTAGCCCCGTCTGCCCCTCCCCCACTAACCCTTCAGTGTTGCTGGGGCTCCGGTGGCAATTCAAAAGGGCCTGGGGCGCCAGCCACTGCTATAGTGGTGGTGGCAGCCTGGAGTCCTGGGCCCTTTTGAATCACCCTGGACCCCAGGGCAGTTGCCCCTTTTGCCCCACCCTGCTGACAGGCCTGGTTCCAGATGAATCTAAATTGCTGGCCTTAGGAAGAGTCTGTCATCATGAGGTGTTTCCTGTTATCTCTTGCAGATAAGGAGGGGGAGATGTCAAAGCCCATAATAATTAAGTGTCCCACTGCTAATGGCAGCGTCTGGCAGATGAGCATCTAGCGTTCATCAGTGCCTTTGAAAATTCTCCCCAGGATCTGTTTGACCGGAGCTAGTTTGGCTGCCTCTGTCAGGCCAGCTCTCTGTCAAATGGGGGAAAGGTAACATCTTATGCATTTCCACCGGTCGGCTCATAGAGGTTGTGCAGGTGCTGTAGCAGCTGCAGTTTGTAATCCTCCTACCTGCTAAAATTGAGGAGGAGGGCTACCAGGCCCACCAGTGGCTGAGGTTAATGGCCCTTTACCAGAGGGCAAGACACCAGCTTCCTCAAAGAAGAAGAAGTTAGGCCCTTGTCCAAGAAACTCTCTCCTGATGCAGACAGTCTTGCCTTACCTTAGACATAATCCGACATGTCGTGCAGTGTTTGAGAAGCTTGTGTAGGAAGGAGCTCGTTTCAAGATGTGGATGATGCATGTATTTGTCTCCTTTTCATCAAATACCTTGTGAATATCTTTGTCCATCTGTGTGTAGGCAGAGATGAGAACTTTGCAACATTTATCGGTGCCTTTTTGACCTCTAGATTGGTTTATTGTGTGATCTGTTCCTATGTGGGGCATTCTTCGAAGAACACTTGGAGGCTATTGTTGGCCTCCTCCTTAATTAGCATGTTTGGCCCCAAGGAATATTTTGCACCAGTTTTCTGAAGACTTCACTGCCTGCTTCTTTGCTTTTGAGAAGAATTCAGGTGACTTGACATCCAGATTTAAATACTCTGTGATTTGGGTCCAGAGGAGAGATGTAGTCTCTTATTGTGCTGTCATAACATTTGAAATCAGCCAGAGAGCTTTTTCCCTCAGCCCCAAGATTTTAACATGTAGAGCAAGGTTTGCAGCCCTTAGATCGAGCACAATAGCAAGTTCTCAATTTAACAGAGTCCAAGTTTGCTCACCTTCAGGGCACAATACCATTTACTTGCTGAGCCTTTTTCTTGAAAAAGGAGCTGGTGAGATCTTTGAAGGGCTTCAACAGAGACTGAGGATTAAATTGTGATGCTCCTTACCTGTGTGCTTGGGCCATTTGTATTTGCAAAGCAAGTGCAGTTTTCCTGTCAGATGCATGATGTTAAACCTCTATCGCTCCTTGCCACACATGTTTAAGGTCTAGAGCATAGAGGTCTTTTCTCAGTTCTCCTGATGACTTGTAAGTCCTAGGGCAAATCACCCATAGCCCGGATGCCTCTGATTCCTTGTTGGTAAAATGGGGTGGGGAATATTAAACGTTACAGAGATCCTGTACTAAAAATATTACTACTGTTGATGCAAAACAGAGCTTAATAAGCAAGAACCTTCCATAAAATAACCTTTGCCAGGAGGGTGAAAAAATGATGTGGAAGCCATATATATAACTTAAAGGAATTTTATGGCCTCAGTCATTCAAATAAAACTGAAAGTCCCACAAGTCCAGTTTGCTGTTAACTGTCAGTTTACTTGCCCTTCTAAGGGGGAGAGAAAATAGAAGTTCAGTTCCATTCCATCAGCTTGCTACTCTTTGATCATCTTGATTTGAGTCCATGGAATGCAATCTAGAGGGTTTTCTTGTTTTGTTTTGTCTTGGTTTGTTTCCCTTGCTCTGCAGGGTAACAACAAATGATGCATAACAAGATAATCTTTGAGACAGTGAAATTGCATAGAATAGTAAAATAATTACATGTATTTATTTTGATTTAGGAAAAAAAAAGACGCACATGAAAAGCTTTAGATGGCCTGACATAATTAATTTTACAACAACAAAAAAACCAAAACCCCAGCTCCCTTCAGTCTCTCCCCCTCCTTCCCGCCCTTTCATCATGCTGGGATGCAAACCCTCAGCTCTCTCTAATCACCATCTCAAACAGGTGTCTTTTGTAGTGTGCCCAGTATGAACTATTCCTTTACAGAGAGAAAAATCCAGGATTGATCATGCTGGGAAGGGGTGACGAGGGTTACAACGGAATGGTAGTGGAGGAATCACTTACATGTGGTCGTTTTCAGGTCACAGACATGAAGATGGGACGCAGAGCGACTCTGAAGACCCTGTTGCACCCAAAGCAGAAAAGGAGACCCCTGCCAGCGACCATGCCTCTGAGCAAGCCAAGCTTCAGCGCCAGATCAGGAGGGACCCTCATGAAATGCTGCATAACCAGCAGGCCTTTGTCATTGAGTTCTTTGACGATGACACGCCTCGTAAAAAGCGGTCGCAGTCTTTCACACACAGCGCGCACTCCTCCCAGAGCGACACAGATCCCGTCCCAAAAGCCAAGGTGGAAAAGCGCAAAGCCACCATGCCCGCTGAGAAGCTCGGTAGCCCAGTGCCACCTGCTCATCCACCTGCCCCGGCTGGCAAGTCAGCCAGCTCCTCATCAGGGACACAGAGAGCTGGATCCTTTAAGAGAGAGAAGACAGAGGATCGGATCAACGCTTCATCCTCCTCTGCTTCTAGGGCCTCTGCGAAGAACTACGGCAGCGTGGGGAGGAAATCTAAAATTGCTCAGGATTTTGCTGCTGAGTATCTAAGGGAAACCTCTCCAGCAGGCAAGCCAAGCACTGAGAAGCCAGCACCTATGCAGATGCCAGTGGCTCCCCGGGTAGTCATATCGTCTGCCCCAGACTCTGCTGCCACCCCACCTACCAACCCAAAATTGGCCAAAGCTCGGAAGCACGACGAGGAGGACAGCTTAAGTGAAACGGGAACTTACACCATTGAGACCGAGTCACAAGATAAAGAAGTAGAAGAAGCTCGGAAAATGATAGATCAGGTAAAATCACCCTAGAAAAAGTCTCTTATAAATGTGATCACTGTCGGCCAACGAACCGGGAATTGACTCGAGGCTACGTCTACACTGCAAAGTGGAAGCCAGGCTGAGAGCCTGTATCTACAGACACTGGCTCGTGGGGCTTGTGCTAGAACACTAAAACTGCCTAAACCCCATCCTTAGGCTTCAGTCTCCGAGCCTGAATGCCCATTTTAGTGCGGCACGAAAACCCTTTCCTGGAGACCCAGGCTCTGACACTCTCCACTGCTTGCAGTGTAGACATAGCCTTGAGCCAGAAATATGAGCTGCAATGGCTTCCATGGAAGGGCATGAGCTGTGGGGGAACTTCAAGGGATTCCTTTCCTCTGGATCTGGCTCAGAAGGGACACTATCACATACTCTCCAGTGTGTTACACAGGCACCATCAGTGGGGGGTAAATATCAGTTAAAAAACCCATCTGGAAAGAGGCAGGGGGACCTGATAGCAGCTCATTTCTTTGTGTCCAAATAGGATTTACATGCAAAAATTCAAGAGTGTAGATGTAAATGTACCAATAAAGAGCAACATGATGCTCAAAGCAATGAAGGGGTTGACTCTGCAAAGATTAGTGCGCGTGGGTTACGTTATGCAGTGGGACTGCTCGAATGCACAAGTAGGGTTGCCAGATGGTTTAACCAAAAATACCGAACTATCCCCCCACCCACCGCCAAAGAAAAAAAAAACCAACCCACCGGGGAAAAAATTCTGTTGAGGGAAAAAGAAGGAGACCAAAGTTGTTGAGCAAAAAAAAAAAAAAAAAAAGGACCCCGAGAGTTGTTAAAAAAAATAAATTAAAAAACAAACAGCATGTCTCCTTTAAGAAATGCTTTTGAGGCTTTTTGGTCCTAACTGGCTGTCTGCCATCTTGTCTCCCTGCTCTGGGCCGGACAGCTCCCCTGTGGAACCTGGTAAGCCCCTGGAATTTTCGCCTCCTGGAAAAAAATCAGAAAATACCAGACATTTTAGGTGTCTGGTATTTTCTGAATTTTTTTACCAGACGGGAGGCGAAAATACCTGGTAGTCCGGGTCAATACCAGATAGGGTTGCTAGGTATCTGGTATTCAACCGGACAGTCTGTTTTTTGGGCCCTCTGGTAAAAAAATTCAGAAAATACTGGTCATGTGCAGTGTCCGGTATTTTCTGGTTTTCCGGCTGGGTGCCCAACGGAATCCTCGTGGAGGCAGGAGGAATGGCTGGGAAGTGGGGCGTGATCGGCGCTGGGAGCCTCTGGTTGCATCTGACGTAGGGGTGACACCTTGGGGAGGAGGAGAAGCCCTGTCCGTGCACCCGAGCACTGTTCAAGTGCATGGTGGAGCCGCAGCCAGACTGACTCATGCTTCGCCTGGACCGTGCGGGGGGCGAGAGCGCCGTGGGATCTGCACTGCCCAGGTCAGTCCCGCTCCCCCACAACTGATATGCTCCTCCCCCCGACCCCTCCTGGCCGGCCGGTT